CTGTAGTCCCAGCTACTCAGGAGGCTGAGGCAGAAGGATTGCTTGAGCCCAGGAGTTTGAGGTTGCTGTGAGCTAGGCTGATGCCACGGCACTCTCACTCACCTGGGCAATAGAGTCAGACTCTGGCTCAAAAAAAAAATGGTACAAAATAAGAAAATGAATACAGCAAGTAAATAACAGAAGAAATCAGCAACCCTGGACACTGTAGTTACTGGCTACTGTCTTTTCTCTCTTACCATCTAACCTCAAAACGTCTCCTGAAGTGACTGAAGTTTGTGTGCATACTGCCAAATGCTCTAACATTCTTTAGGACTCAATATTGTAAGGAAACACACAGGGTTGTAATTCACCCCTGAGAAACAGACTTTCATTTCTCTATCCGCCTCTCCTCTCAGTCTGTAAATTGATATTTGATGTAAGCACAAAGCCTCACTTGTTTTGGTCCAAATATCCAGATACGTGGGTGGACTCCTTCTACCAAGGAATGTCATCAAAGTTCACATCTGCTGATTCCATAACATGAGAGACCACTTGCCTCTCCCCAAAACAGTGTGAAGCACTTTTCCCATCTGAAAATAAATTGCTTTCACCCATCGAAAACGTATTGAGCATGAACAACATAGAAGGAACTCTGCTGGGTACTGTGGAGGATGTAAAGATGAATAAGTTAGTCCTTGCCCTTGATAAGACCTTTTACAGACCCACATTCTCAGATATAGATTGTAGCCAGATTAAGTTCTCCTCCAGAATAGAGGCTGTGGTGTTTTCTCCCTATCCCCAGGGCTTAGTGCTATAGGTTGACTGAATGAATAAACAGAAGCATGGGTGTTCTAGTGAAGATGGTTCCTGTTCTTGTGTTCAGTTACAAGAAATTACACTTCTAGCCTCTTCACAGTCTGATTTCAAATGCTTAATTAAGAGGGAGAATGAAGAATCCATAATAGAAACAGGTTAGAGACCACAAGGTAGGCAAATGGAAAGTGAAGAGGAAAAGAGTGGAAGAAGGGAAAAGAAAAAGTATTGTGTAGAAGGAGTCAGTGAAAACAAAAAATTCTGCAGAAAACTTAGGAAGAATTCAGTTGATTCTCAATAATCAGAATAAAATAGACAATAGCCTTAATGGGAAGAAAAAAAGAATTTGGTGAAAATTTAATTAATCAAAGATTAAAAAGGGGGAAAAACGTTTCCTTTGGCCTCCAGCAAACGCCAGGCCACTTTGGCCAAAGCGTGGAATCTTAAATAATGTTCCAAAGAATTTTATTTGGACAAGGAAGAATGTGAACCTCACCTAGCATAGGTCTCTGTTCACTTGCTGCTTTCATTACTTGGGGAATCAGTTCTCAAACTCATTGATCTCACGACCTCTATACATGTTTTAACATTATTGAGAGTCCTAAAGAGCTTTTACTTATGTGAATTACATCTAATGATATCTACCATATAGCATATCAAAACTGAGAAATTTTCAAAATATAATTTCAAATCAAGACAACAAACTGTACTTTTTGTTGTGTTTACACATAGATTTGAGGAAAAGTTCAAGATTCCAAGACAATAATTTATTTGAGAATAATGAGGTTACAGCTATCCTGGTAGATATGAACAAAGATAGCTAATAGAAGTACAGAAGTTTTGAGAACAAATGAATTTTATTAATCTCTAAAAATCCACATAAATCTCTCTAAAATGTACATATTGATACTTTACACCTACTACCACAGAAAATACAAGCAAGTACACACAGGTATTCTTTTAATTAGCAAAGTGATGATGTCATTCATGTCAAATAGCCTCCGGAAATTTCCACTGTACAGTCTTGAGAGAATGAAAGTGAAAAAAGGAAATCATGTGTTGTTATCATAATGGAAATAGTTTCGACCTCATGGACCTCTTGAAAGGATCTTGAGGACATCTCTGGCGGACCACCATTGGAGACCCAACGTAATCCATTGAGTTTAAGGTCATTTTCCATTTCATATTACTAATACAGTGCATTTTCTCTGATAAATACTTTGTTCTCGTGCCCGGACCACCCTTTGAGAACAGCTGGCCGAGGGGTAAGCACAGGACCCCGAGCCTAGTGGAACCCAGAGCGAAAAGTCCCACGCGCGCCGAGACGAGCTGGGCACTGAGAACGGAAACGCTCCCCCGAGTCGCCGAGAGCGCCGGCTCTAGAAGCAAGTCGAGAACCGGCCACCCGCGCCGCCACGGCGGGGCCAGAACTCGCGGCAGGCGGCCGAGTTCGCCCCGGCCCAGGGCAGAGGCCGCGGCGGCCAAGAGAGCGCAGCGCGGACTCCCCGAGACGCCGGCCCACCGCCCTGCCGCCGCAGGTAGGCCGGCCCCCGGGAGGAGGAGCGCGGCCAGGTGCTCCCAGGCGGCCGCCTCCGCCCTTTCCCACAGCTCTGGCGGCGTCTTCCTGGGAGCGACGCAGGAGCTCGCGCCTCCCCCCGATTCCCCGCTGCGGACCCCTGGCTCTTCCTCAGTGTGCGCGCGGGGTCACCCGGCCCTGCGGAGGGCGAGGCCCAGAGCGTCGCCGAGATTATCGAGGGCCTGGCGGCCGCAGGAACCACTCCAGAACGGGACCCCGGCCCGGGGGCGGCTGGAACATGTGCCGGGGGATGCAGGTGCAGGGCCCGGCGGCGGGGCCGCGGCAGGGAGGGGTTACTCCCAGGGGGCCACCTCGGCGGAGGCCACCTAGGCGGATGGGCTCCGTTAGAACGCGAAGCTGAGAGTTGAGCGCGGCGACAGGAGCCCGGTCAACCCCTGGCCGAGTTCTGCGGCGCGGCGTCTGTCCCAGGCGGTCTCAGGGGCCGCCGTCCGGGCGCGCGTCGGGCTCGGGCGACCGAAACCGCGCGCGGGGCGCTTTCGCGCGGCGACAACAGGTCGGTGATTCAGTTCCCACAGCAACTCAAGTGCCCAGCCGGGGGCTTTTCTGATTTTTTCTTTTCTTTTTTTGTTCGTTTGTTTGTTTAGTTTGTTTGACAGTTGCCAGATTATGTTTACGCTTCTGGTTCTACTCAGCCAACTGCCCGTGGTTACCTTCGCGTTTCCTCATTGCACAAGAACTCCGAAGGAGTCTAAGCATGCGGGAGAAGAAGGTAAGCAAGGCTTCAGTTTCCAAGTAAACCCTTCGAGAAGGTGGAGCCACATGTTATAGATCTCAGGTGGGAAAGTGTAATATTTGAAATTACGTGCCCCCATAAATCGTAGAAGCACTAAAATATGCTTTAGTTTAATTTGTGGTTTATTTGGTAAGGTTGTGGTTTTTTATATTCTTTACAATTTATGCTTTATTTATGTGTTTCCTTTGATAAATATAAGACCTGGTTTGTGGTTAACTGGAAAAGCTATTTCGGCTTCTGAAAATCAGTGAGTGACGTTTTTCTAGATCAAGCTGTGTGGTGATTATAATGGGCATAATTGTTCTTCCTGGAAAGATGGACAGGAAGTCCACGTTCTAGTCTGGACTTGCCCCATAACTCTGGGCAGGTACTTAATCCCTTTGGGCTTGACTGTCTTCGGCTGTGCAATGATGGAGGTGGGATGTAAAATGATCACTGAGGTCCTTTTTGACTTTCAAATGTCTGGTTGTCTAGATTGAGGCCGATGGTTGAGAGATTAGGTTTGGGGCTTGCTAATTTAGAATTCCACAGCTTTTAAGTTCCAGGTCATAAACAGATTGGTTCCTGCCTATATTTTAAAAGCCTAACCTAGCAAAACCAGAAAAGAAGAAAAAAATTGCCTATGGTTCTCAGTATCCTTCTATCTGTCTAGTCATTGTGTTTCCCCACCCACTGCCAGAACTTTGGATCTGCTTCCCCACACATTCCTGTCCCTTATCCCTTCTCATCAGATGCTACTCGCAGTTCATTTTCATTTGGGAAGGATCTGTTACACTACTACTCCTAGCTGACTTATTAATGATTAATACAGCTTACTCTGTGTATACAGTGTGTGTGTGTGTGTGTGTGTGTGTGTGTGTGTGTGTGTGTGTGTGTGTGTTTAAGACAGGACACGCCGCTGGTGTAGTGGTATCATGCAAGATTCCCATTCTTGCGACCCGGGTTCGATTCCCC